ACTCTTCAACGCAACACTCGTAAGCGACTTGTGTGACATTTTTGAGAGATGCTTCTGAGCAAGAGCTTGAGCGACACTTCTGAGCGACAACTTGAGCGACACGTCTGAACACAATTACAAGCGAAGCGGTATTTCGAAATACACTCCCAAGCGCACCTCTGACTGACACATCTAAGCGTCAAGCGCCATACTTCTGAGGGACAAACTACGACACCTCTACACACACATAAGCGACACTTCTGAGCAACACTTCCAGCGACACTTTTACACACACACAAATATGTAAGCGACGCCTGTTAGCCGCACTACTGAGCGAAAGTTTGGGCGACATTTCTACAAACATAACTGAGCGACACTTTTGAACGACACCCTGAGCGACATTTCTGTGAGCGACATGTCTGAGCAACACTTCCGAGCAACACTTCTGAGCAATACTCCTGAGCGACCCTTCGGACAATACCTCTGAGCGACGCTTCTGAGCCACGTGCACTTCTACACGCACATCAGCAACACTTCTGGGCGACACTCCTGAGCGACAATCAAGCGACAGTTCTACACACACACACACAAATCTGAGCGAGAGCGACACTTCTGAGCGACGCTTCTGACCGGTACTTCTGAGCAACACCTCTGAGCGACACTTCTCAGCGACACTTGTGATGGACACTGCTGAGCAACACATCTGATCGACACTTCTCTGAGCAACGCTTCTGAGCGACACTTCTGGGCAACGCGTCTGATCGACGCTTCTGATCGACACTTCTGAGCAAAACTTCTGAGCAGCACGTCTGAGCGACGCGACACTTCTGAGCAACACCTCTGAGCGACACTTCTCAGCGACACTTGTGATGGACACTGCTGAACGACACTGCTGGTCGACACTTCTCTGAGCAACGCTTCTGAGCGACACTTCTGGGCAACCCGTCTGATCGACGCTTCTGATCGACACTTCTGAGCAAAACTTCTGAGCAGCACGTCTGAGCGACGCGACACTTCTGAGCAATACTTCTGAGCGACACTTCACCGACACTTCTGAGCGGCACTGCTGAACGACACTGCTGGTCGACACTTCGGTTTGAAACTTCTAAGCAACGCTTCTACTTGCCATTTCTGAGTGACACTTCTGAGCAACATTTCTGAACAACAAGCCTGAGCAACACTTCCGATCCACACTGCTGTTCGGGGCTCTGTGCGACAACACTTCCGAGCGACGCGACACTTCCGACCAACACTTCTGAGCAACACTTCTCGTCGGCACTGCTGATCGATGCCTCTGATCAACACCTCTGACCGATACTTCTGATCGACACTTCTGATCGAAACTTCTGAGCGACGCGACACTTCTGAGCGACACTTCTGAGCAGCACCCGTGAGCGAAGTGGCACAGCTGAGCAACACTTCTGAGCAACAATGCTGAGCAACACTTCTGAGCAACCCTTCTAACAGAACAACACTTCTGAGCAGCACCTCTGAGCAACACTTCTGAGCGACGAGAAACTTCTGAGCGACACTTCTCAACGCTGCTGACAAACACTTCTGAGCAACACTTCTGAGCAACGCTTTGGAGCAACAGTTATGATCGACACTTCTGGGCGACACTTCTGATCGACACTTTTGAGCCACACTTGTGAGCGACACTTCTGAGTAACAATTCGGCCACACTTCTGATTGACACTTCTGAGCAACTGAGCAACACGTCTGAGCAACACTTCTGATCGACAGTTGTGATCGACACGTCTGATCGACGCTTCTGAGCAACCTTCTGATTGACACGTCTAAGTGATCGCGGGTCGACGCTTCTGAGCGACACTTCTGAGCAACACTTCTGAGCGACGAGCCGCATCTTAGCAACACCTCTGGCAACACTTCTGGCAACACTTCTGGTCGACAGTTCTGACCAATGCTTCTGCTCAACACTTCTGATCGACACTTCGGATCGACACTTCTGAGCAACACGTCTTATCGACACTTCCGAGCAACACCTCTGAGCGACACTTATTAGCGCCACTTCTGAGCAACACTTCTGATGAACACTGCTAATCGACACTTCTGAGTAACACTTCTGAATGCACTGCTGAGCGACACTGCTGAGCGACACTGCTGAGCAACACTTGTGAAAGACACTTCTGACCGACATTGCTGAGGGACACTGCTGAACGACAAGTCTAAGATGCATTTTCAAGGAAGACTTGTAATTGACACCTCTGAGCAACACTTCTGATCGACACTTTGAACGATTCTGATCGACACTTCTGAAGTGTCACGTCTCTCGCCACGTCTCTTCTCTGAACATGCGCGCCGCGCCACTGCGAGAGCGATTGGGCCCACCGAAAGTGCGCAGAGAGTTCACTTTGTACGCTCAAAATGCGCACCGCGCCACGTGCGGCCACTTGCACCTTGCGGCCATTCGTGGCCACTGGCGGCCTCTTGCGGTCAGTGGAATGGCTGCAAGTAGCCGCAGGTGTCCGAACTCAATTCGCATCAATGTAATCTTGATTGATTTTGGGGAGTCGCTACGTCCTGCTGCGCCCGTTCTCTGTGGAAGGCCCGAGACTCCAGTGAATGAGATAGCTCTGGGTACTAGCTAGGGATCCTGGAAAAAATAGCAAAGCATATGCATCCCCTTGTGGCTCCTTGACTCCTTGCAGGAACATATGACAATGGCGGGGTGATTTTGGCACCCAGTCTCCGAATGTGGGCACGCCAAGCTTCCTGACCATGCTCCCAATGCAATTGGCGCTACACCAAGCACTTCCATGAGAGGGGACCCAAAGTTGCACAGCTGCTTCTTTTGGCTTGCGCGGACAGGTCCGACATCTTCCAAACTTTTGAAGGTCCAAAAAGAGCGACATCCCCACTTTCAACCTCTGGTGTTTTAAAAGGCATTTCTCCCCCTTGCTTGTAAGTTTGGAAGCCCAACCACTTCCACCCCAGGCTTGGTGAGCCCCGAAAGAAAGAACCAAATCCGTTCCACGGGGCAAAAAAACATGAATGGGGTGGGGTACTTTGAAGCCACACTTTGTCATGGCTTGGGGCATGCAGGAAATATGTTGCTTGCAAAAAAGAAACTAGAGGACGATTGGCCCGAAAGCATTTTTCCACAGGTGCTCATCCAGCTGCGGAGACACCTTTTTACATCGCTGCGGCGAGCGTGTCTGCGCGCGGCGATGCTCAGTGTGTATGGTCACATGAGAGCTCCATCTCATCATCCTACTTTCCTCTCGAACTGGCCGCGCGATTTCTCACGAAAGTGGTCTGCGCAAGCTGCATTGTTCCAGGCTGCTGCGCGCAAGTTGCTCTCTGCAAGCTGCTGCGCGCAAGTGCTCTGTGCAAGTTGCTCTGCGCAAGTGCTCTGAGCAAGTTGCTCTGCGCAAGTGCTCTGCGCCAGTTGCTCCGCGCAAGCGCTTTGCGCATGTGCTCTGCGCAAGTTGGTCTGTGCAAGTTGCTCTGCGCCTGCTCTGTGCAAGTTGCTCTGCGCAAGTGCTCTGAGCAAGTTGCTCTGCGCAAGGGCTCTGCGCCAGTTGCTCCGTGCAAGCGCTTTGCGCATGTGCTCTGTGCAAGTTGTGCAAGTTGCTCTGCGCAAGTGCTTTGTGCAATTGCTCTGTGCAAGTTGCTCTGCGCAAGTTGCTCTGCGCAAGTGACTCTGCGCAAGTTGCTCTGCGCAAGTGCTGCCGGAGCTGCGGGGGTGTGCTCCGCGTACTACGTTTGTACTTAAAAGTTGCGATTCTCCAGCCGGAGCTGCGGGGGTGTGCTCCGCGTACTACGTTTGTACTTAAAAGTTGCGATTTTCCAGCCTGAGCTGCGGGAGCACGCTCCGCATACTACGTCTGTACTTAAAAATTGCGATTTTCCACCCGGAGCTGCAGGAGCACGCTCCGCGTACTACGTTTGTACTTAAAAGTTGCGATTTTCAAGCCGGAGCTGCGGGGGTGTGCTCCGCGTACTACGTTTGTACTTAAAAGTTGCGATTTTCCAGCCTGAGCTGCGGGAGCACGCTCCGCACACTACGTCTGTACTTAAAAGTTACGATTTTCAGCCGGAGCTGCAGGAGCACGCTCCGCGTACTACGTTTGTACTTAAAAGCTGCGATTTTCAAGCCGGAGCTGCCGCGGACCAGGGGGGAATCGAACCCGCGACCGCGGGATTGCGAAAGCAGGCGCGCAAACCACGAGACAACTTCCAAAGGCCGTTTCGCGAGCAAGAATATTGCACGGCGCCACAGCGAGAGCGCTTCGACACGCACAATCTCCGCAGAGGGTTCGCCGAGACTAAGACAAATTCGCACGGCGCCACAGCGAGAGCGCTTCGACGCGCATGATCTCCGCAGAGGGTCGCGCGCGCACCGCAGAAATCGTAAAAAGTCCTCAGTTTTTGAACCTCGACCACGCGAATCTCCGCAGAGGGTCGCGCGCGCACCGCAGAAATCGTAAAAAGTCCTCAGTTTTTGAACCTCGACCACGCGAATCTCCGCAGAGGGTCGCGCGCGCATGCTAAAAATCGTAAAAAGTCCTCAGTTTTTGAACCTCGACCACGCGAATCTCCGCAGAGGGTCGCGCGCGCATGCTAAAAATCGTAAAAAGTCCCCAGTTTTTGAACCTCGACCACGCGAATCTCCGCAGAGGGTCGCAATCCCGAGCGACGATCAAACTCCCGCCCCGGCGCCGTTAGAAACCTAAACTAACTTACATAGCTGCTAACGCCGAAGCTCTAAGCTCTATGTAACTTGGCTCTATGTAACTTGGCTCTATGTAACTTGGCTCTATGTAACTTGGCTCTATGTAACTTGGCTCTATGTAACTTGGCTCTATGTACTTGGCGCTCTTGGCTCTATGTAACTTGGCTCTATGTAACTTGGCTCTATGTAACTTGGCTCTATGTAACTTGGCTCTAAGTAACTTGGCTCTATGTAACTTGGCTCTATGTAACTTGGCTCTATGTAACTTGGCTCTATGTAACTTGGCTCTATGTAACTTGGCTCTATGTAACTTGGCTCTATGTAACTTGGCTCTATGTAACTTGGCTCTATGTAACTTGGCTCTATGTAACTTGGCTCTATGTAACTTGGCTCTATGTAACTTGGCTCTATGTAACTTGGCTCTATGTAACTTGGCTCTATGTAACTTGGCTCTATGTAACTTGGCTCTATGTAACTTGGCTCTATGTAACTTGGCTCTATGTAACTTGGCTCTATGTAACTTGGCTCTATGTAACTTGGCTCTATGTAACTTGGCTCTATGTAACTTGGCTCTATGTAACTTGGCTCTATGTAACTTGGCTCTATGTAACTTGGCTCTATGTAACTTGGCTCTATGTAACTTGGCTCTATGTAACTTGGCTCTATGTAACTTGGCTCTATGTAACTTGGCTCTATGTAACTTGGCTATGTAACTTGGCTCTATGTAACTTGGCTCTATGTAACTTGGCTCTATGTAACTTGGCTCTATGTAACTTGGCTCTATGTAACTTGGCTCTATGTAACTTGGCTATGTAACTTGGCTCTATGTAACTTGGCTCTATGTAACTTGGCTCTATGTAACTTGGCTCTATGTAACTTGGCTCTATGTAACTTGGCTCTATGTAACTTGGCTCTATGTAACTTGGCTCTATGTAACTTGGCTCTATGTAACTTGGCTCTATGTAACTTGTCCAAGGGCTCCGCACGGAAGAACCCTTCGCGATGCTTTCCCGAAAAGAGACAGACTTTCATCTCCATCCAAAGGGCGGCTGCGACAGCTCTGACGCCTCGTCATGCGACAGCATCGCTCTGCCTCGCCGGCACCGAAAAGATTGTGAAAATGCCAGGTGGGCCGCACAAGGATGACATTGTTTGGTATTTGGGGGGGGAACCTGGCCAATGTCTGCAAAATGAGCACGAAAGAAGGGATGCGACTGGGCAATCAGTATTCGACAAGGTATGGATGAAAGCTCATGGAAACAATGGGCTCGCGCCACTAGTGTTTTTGTTGTTAGAGTTTGGAGCTTGTCCCCAGGTCACTTCCAAATGGACCATAAACTGCTGGATATGATAACCAAGCCTCACGTGGAAGTGCCTGAGGCAACAAACATCTTCCAAGCTATGATTCTGCGCTATCCAAACTGGAAGTTGATGTTCTATCATCCTAAGGGATTGAATCACACACACACACACACAACATACACCCACCGCAAGAAATGAGCTCTAAATAAACTGAGGCCTAAGTAGCAATTATTCCTGATTTGTTCCCGTAATTCTCGTGCTGGGGAGCTCCCCTGGTTCCCCCATGCATTGTCAGGACGAAAAGTCTTGTATTCAACCATAGATCCCCACAATGGAAATTACACAGGAAGAAACCCTTTAGTATCCTTTAAATCGGGGATAACTGCACACTGGAGCTGTAATAGGCGCCTGGAACAGTCCGACTCATGGCTACGGCTGGGACAAACCCCTACCACACTTCAGGAACGCAGGTTTGATTGTAGCTCCGAGGCCAGCATCTCCTGAAATCTCCCCTAGTAGAACCACAAGTTCCATGCAATCTGACAAGAAAGACCAAAGCCGCCAGGCCGATTTTTTCTTCGCATCCAGAAGCCCAGCCCGCCCGAAAAGGCCAGCCGCCCCCCTCAAGGCCCATGGCCTCCCGCCAGGAGGTCGATCTGTTGGCTCAGCATCTCGAAGCGCCGCTCCGTGACGTCGATCAGATCCTCGGGCGAACTCGCACTTGGACTGTCAACTGTTTTGAAAAAGTGGCGGGGTTCTGTTTCTTGAGGGTGGCCTTAGGGTTGGTTTCAACTTTGGGTCTATGTTTGACACCATGGGTTCAAGGTCTCACGCAACTCTCCTTTGCTTCAACCGGAATCCGCTTGTTAGAACCTGTTTAGGCCCCTGACTGAAGGGAACCCAGAAACAGGATCCAAACCAGGTCCGCTGTTTCAATATGCGTGTGTGCGCGAGTGTGCGCACATGTGTTATTGGAAGGAGCCCATTTTGAAGTCTGTTTAAAGCCTGAAGGAAACCGACGCATTTCCCGGCTTTCTCAACTTCGGGATGCATGGGCCGTCCTCTTGCATCTGCATGCTCTGCATCAAGTTGTACTTGATGAAGCGCGGTGCCTCGCAGAGTCGTGTCGACCAAAACGAGGCTGACTCAAATCTGACGGCAGGGGCCAACCAGCCGCAAGGAAACTCACTCTAAATTTTGCCCAAAGGAATACTAAAAAAGGCGATTGATTGAAATGACTTGAATCATGAATAGTGCGTTTGGCTGTGGCCCCCTTCGCGCCGGACACCAAAAAAACAGCAATGCCTTCTGGCAGCGCCTTCCCGAAATAAGTTCCAAGTCGCCGTTTTGGAGTCATGGGCCCAGCGGCTCAGTGGGCCAACAAACTCCGAGACCTGCAAAGTGCCCGACTGATCCACGTCGATCATGTGGAACAGCCTGGGTCGACACCTCTCTGCTCCAGTCGCTATCCCAGGCTTTGCGGATGTCGAGCATTTTGGCACATCCTACGCAATTCACATGTTCATGCCTGCGCTTTGGCACAAGATGCTACATGGAAGGGCCGCATGAGTTGTTTCGTCCAGGAGTCCAGGAGATGTTTTGTAGTTTGAGGCAGAGGGCAAGCTACGTTCAGATGCATGCCACAACCCTTTGACACAGCTGGGTAAAGGGGGCTTTTCATATGAGCACCACGCAAAACCTATTGGCTTTTGGTTCTACGAACATGGCTCAGGTACATTCCTCGGGCATTTGGTCAGAGAACAATTTGGCAGGGGGAAGCCAGGAAGGATGGCCTTAAGCCCAATGAAGCCGAGGGCCACCCAAGCACGGCGAGCGGTGTTGCGTGTTTGAACACCTTCGAAGAAACTTGTGAGCGTGTTGGAACAAAACCCTTGCTGCAAAACAAAAACATGCGCGCACCACAAAACTTGGAGTTGCACCAGGAACGCGTACACAGTGCCAAATGCCCATTCTAACGTTTGGATATGAACGGTGCTTTGCCCAGAAACTAAAAGCAGCTCGACTTCTGACTATGTTTTCAAGGAGCTTCTTCTTCAATTACCGTCCCTCCAACAATCATGGACGTTGGCAGGTAAGGTTGACCCCGGATGAACAAACCCTGCGGATTAATCGGGAGTTCCCTCAAAAGTGAAGAGTCCTGTCTTACATGTGTGCGGGGTCAACGTTAGTTAAAGCATCCAAGTGGCTGCTGAAGGTCGCTCTCATCAATATCCATGACCTTCAAGCGGCTTTGAAAGGTGGCGTCATTGCGCGCACCGTCAATCAACTCCTGAGTCGGGCCAAGCCACGACCCTGAAACCCCAGGACCATACGTGGATGGCTGTCCAAAAAGGCGACTCCTCTGTTCTAATGATTTGTTAGGGGACAAATGAAGTTTCCCCCAAATAGGCCCTGAGAAACACCTAGCATGGGCAGCACACTTTGTCGACACCTGCAATTGACTTCTTCAACGGGCTTCGTTTGCCAGGGCGGGGTCCGACCTCGCAAACTGGCGGAGAGCAACTGGTATATGGACTGTACCAGCTTCAGAAACTCGAGACATGTACTGAGAAACTACAGAAACCAAACAACAAAGGGGGGCATGTGTTTTTGTCCAGGATGGACCCATAGCCGGATTTGTGCTGTCGGGGGTGGTTTACCCTGTCCAATACAAATCCCTACGAGCCTTTTTGTAATGGCCCTAGAAGGTTTGGAGTCCCTTTGCGCTACTTCCCCAAGGGAGCTTCATCAGGGTAGAATCGTTCATTTTAACCTCCCAGTGAGCTCACTAAGTGCGTGCGGCATGGTTGTCTGCAGCATTTCGCGGTTTGAAAAGAACCATCAACTTCCGGAAGGAATCTCCAAGCACGACCAAGGAAATTCTTCCACGCGAATCTCAATCAAAGGGATTTTTTCCCCCGAGGATCAAGCCCCAACTGGTGAGCTCTGTTGAGGCCCCTTGGCAGCCCGCTGGAGCGGATGACCTTTTCTTCGTGTCAAAGCGCGCATCGAGGCCTGGAAACTAGAATCGTAGTGTGGCTCCTTTAAGACCAAAAACCCAAAATGAGTCATGCTAGCCCCAAGGCCCCAAACACCCCTAGGTCAGAACAGGAACCCTTGTTTTGAGTTGGAGGGGGGGCGTCGATGGATCTAGATGGACGCCTCCAGTTCGCCCTGACTGCGTTTGTTCCGATGGCTAAATCAGCTTCCAATGACCAGGGCACAGCCAGGTGGTGTCCCACATCTTGGGTGCACATACAAGTGTATACATATGTGTATATATATATATATACGTATATGATATGTGTGTAATACGGTACATTCATATTCAGCCCACCAGGCTCTACTTAGATCCTGGAGTCGGCCACCAGCCCGCCAGACACACCACCAGGTTTGGTCTATTTCCCAACAAAGTTGAAAGGCTTTCCAGGTACTGCAGAGCCACCAAGCTTTCTGGGTGAAGGGTCGGATCCTTACTCCAAGGCGCGTCCAAAGTCAGCTCGCCAGTGCCCTGCTTGTCGATACGCTGAAACAGCTCATTCAGCTGCTCCCTGCAGGCGGCACAAAAATCTCCGAGGCGGCTTGAATTGGCGCTTGTGAGCACTGTATAAACTTTCAGCTGTAATTGGATTGTCGTATTTGGCCCTGCGAGTCTCCTCGGACTCAACCGGCACGCAACATGTCACAACAGGCTATGTCCATGCAGAAAGCCTTTGGCATGCAGCGCTCGCCGAGATTTCCGCGCAACCCAATCAAATCCGCCTGGCACCCTCTCAAGTCTATCTCAAACTGGTCAACAGGGTCGTGAACCAAAATGGCAATGCAAAATGACAATGCAAACACTGAAATGGAAAACCCAACAGACCTCGAGTCACGGCCCACTTGCGTGTGCGAAAACGCACGCCCGATAAACAATTGCTTTTTGGGGCGGCGGCGCGAAGACAGCATTTGGCTGAGGGGGCATTAAGTTGATGGCAAGTTGCGTGCCGCTGCCAATCTTTGCACAACGCTTTCTGGTTCGATGAGCTTGAAGCATGGGAACGCTTTTATGAGTCCTTCAGGTGAGCGAGCACCTTACCCTTTTCTAACTTGTCTTACCCCTTACCCCTAAATTTCAAACAGGGCATTTCTATTCCTTACCTTTGTATCATGATTTTTATCTACCTTTCGACACAAGGCCAAATAGGCCAACCCCTCTTATCTCCAGCTCAGCTCACCCATTTGCAATGTTCAAGGAGCTTATGCTGAGCTGTTTGCTGCACCGGGCACTCGACACTTGGGTATAAATCAAAATTAAGCACCAGGGGACCGCAGGTTATAATCCCTGGTTACATTTACAAGGGTTCCATTTTGGGTACGTATTTTTGACACTCAGACAAAAAAACAAAGATTTGACCTACAGCTAAAGACCGCAGAAACCCGCCAACCCTGAAAGAACTCACGAAGGCTCCAACAAAACCCCGAAACCTTCCACGCACTACCCCAAACAGATGACTATCTCCAAACCTGACCCTCCGACCCACACCCACTCCCAACCCACTCAAGCGACCGACTGATCCACCCACCCACCCACCCACCCACCAACCACCCGGCCAACCGGTTTTTGGAACAAAACTATCTCAGCAATACCCCAGCGCCTGTCGGCTTGGAGGTCGATTTCCAGCTCCTCCGCTAGGGCTTCCACATCATGTAGACGTGCTTCTGCAAAGGTATCTACGACCACCTCGGCTTTGGCGCAACCCTGAAAATTGGCCCAGGCCGAAAATTCCAGCCGTCTCCAGCCCGTCTGAACAGAAGCGTTCACATCTCGTGCCACCCCCCACCATGTCAAGCAGACCAAAATCCCGCTCCAACTGCCTGGAAGCTTACTCCTACAAACCGCTCAAGAAACCGCTAGAAACCGGCGATCATTCCCGCGCAAGTTTTTTGCTCGATGTGGTCACAAGCAACAAACAGCAACTAACCTTGTTCCTGCTATCTTGCCACCTACCCGACCCCCCTCACACGAGTTTGCCAAGCACGTCAAAGATGACACATATACCCCCTCGAGCAAAACAGTGACTACAACGCAAATGACTCTCATGATGACTCTGTGCAATGACTCTCATGATGATTCTGTGCAATGACTCTCATGATGATTCTGCGCAATGACTCTCATGATGATTCTGCGCAATGACTCTCACGATGACTCTGTGCAATGACTCTCGCGATGACTCCGTTCAATGACTCTTGTGCGATGACTCTATGCAATGGCTGTCATGATGACTCTGTGCAATGACTCTTGCGTGATGACTCTATGCAACAGCTGTCATGATGACTCTGCGCAATGACTCTCATGATGATTCTGTGCAATGACTCTCATGATGACTCTGTGCAATGACTCTCATGATGATTCGGTCCAATGACTCTCACGATGACTCTGTTCAACGACGCTCGTGATGACTCCGTTGAATGACTCGTGTGTGATGACTCTATGCAATGGCTGTCTTGATGACTCTGTGCAATGACTCTGCTGCGATGACTCTATGCAATGGCTGTGATGACTCTGTGCAATGACTCTCATGATGCTTCTGTGCAATGACTCTCGTGATGACTCTGTGCAATGACTCTCATGACGATCCTGCGCAAGGACTCTCATGATGATTCTGGGCAATGACTCTCACGATGACTCTGTGCGATCCCTCTCGCAATGACTCCGTTCAATGACTCTTGTGCGATGACCCTTTGCAATGGCTGTCATGATGACTCTGCGCAATGACTCTCAGGATAATAATTCTCCCAACGGAACATCTGACTTTTGGTCTGCCCAAGTTGCCCTGCGCTAGCTGTTGTGTGCAAGTGCTCTGTGCAATTTGCTTTGCGCTGGTTGCTCTGCGCAAGCGGCAGCACTCTGTGAAAGTTGCTCTGCGCAAGTGCTGCTGGAGCTTTCGGGAAGTACTTCGCGTACTAGTTTTCTGATTGAAAAGTTCCATTATGCAGCCGGAGCTGCAGGACTGTACTCCGCGTGCTACAGTTGTACTTAAAAGTTGCGATTTTCCAGCCGGAGCTGCGTCCGCGTACTACGTTTGCACTTACAAGTTGCAATTTCTGTCTAGAAAAGCTGCCGCGGACCAGGCGGGGATCGAACCCGCGACCGCGCGACTCCGAGAGCAGGCGCGCAGACCACGCGACAACTTCCAAAGACCAGTCCGCAAGCAACAAAATCGCACGGCGCCACAGCGAGAGCGCTTCGACACGCACGATCCTCGCAGAGGGTCGCGCGAGCATATTCAGAATCGAAAAACAACACAGTCTTTGCACATCGACCACGCCGATCCCCGCATAGGGTTCATCCTGGAATGTCAAAATCGCAGAAAAAACCCTCAGTTTTTGACCTCGACCACACGAATCTCCGCAGAGGGTCGCTCGCACAGATCAGAAATCGTGAAAAAGCCCTCAGTTTTTTTACCTCCCACACGAATCTCCGCAAAGGGTCGCTCGCACAGATCAGAAATCGTAAGAAGTCCTCAGTTTTCTGACCTCGACCACACAGAGGGTTGATTTTCGTAGCGTGCTGTCGGCCCTACCCCGCCGCCCTAAGAAGAGAAGAAAGGAATTTAAAACTCGTCATGAGTGAGAACTCTCATGAGCATTGCTCCTCGCCAGTGACTCTCACGAGCATTGCTCCTCGCAAGTGGCTCTCATGAGCATTGCTCCTCGCCAGTGACTCTCACGAGCATTGCTCCTCGCAAGTGACTCTCTACTATGACTCTGCGCAATGGCTCTCATGATGATGATGACTCTGCGCAATGACTCTGATGATGATGTGATTCTCATGATGATGACTCTGCGCAATGACTCTGATGATGATAACTCTCTGATGATGATAGCTGCTTGCAATGACTCTGATGATGATGACTCTTTGCAATGAGTCTGATGATGATGACTCTGTGTATTGATGATAACTCTTTGCAATCACTCTCATCATGATGATGACTCTGCGCAATGACCCTGATGATGATAACTCTCTGCTGATGATAGCTCTTTGCAATGACTCTGATGCTGATGACTCTTTGCACTGAATCTGATGATGATGACTCTGCGCAATGACTCTGATGATGATAACTCTCTGATGATGATAGCTGTTTGCAATGACTCTGATGATGATGACTCTTTCCAATGAGTCTGATGATGATGACTCTGTGTATTGATGATAACTCTTTGCAATCACTCTCATCATGATGATGACTCTGCGCAATGACTCTGATGATGATAACTCTCTGATGATGATAGCTCTTTGCAATGACTCTGATGATGATGATGACTCTTTGCACTGAGTCTGATGATGATGACTCTGCGCAATGACTCTGATGATGATAACTCTCTGATGATGATAGCTGTTTGCAATGACTCTGATGATGATGACTCTTTCCAATGAGTCTGATGATGATGACTCTGTGTATTGATGATAACTCTTTGCAATCACTCTCATCATGATGATGACTCTGCGCAATGACTCTGATGATGATAACTCTCTGATGATGATAGCTCTTCTGCAATGTGATGATGATGACTCTGTGTATTGATGATAACTCTTTGCAATCACTCTCATCATGATGATGACTCTGCGCAATGACTCTGATGATGATCACTCTTTGCAGTGACTCCCATGATGATGATGACTCTGCGCAATGACTCTCATGATGATAACTCCCATGAATCCAACGGAAGAACCCTTCGCCATGCTTTCGGGAACGTGGTCCAAGTCCGGTCAAATTCCTCCTGCAAACCAGTCAGCCAATCCCCTCTAGGCCCTCAGGTTTCGTGCCCCCAGCCCACAGCTCCCTTGAAGCTATGCGGAAACGCGCGAGCATGCACATGTCGGCGCCGACTCACTCACTCAATCAAGTACCTCAAGGCAAAGCCGGCCAAAACCATACTGGCCGAGGCGGGCCAGTCCGGCAAAAATCAAGTGGTACAGCCGGGTTCGCTGTATGCCCGCATCAATATTGCAACTAGATTGACAACATTGTAGTTGAAACAAGGCAAACCTGCATATCTCCAAGATGGGGCACAGCTTTCCGGATGATGCGAAGTTTCCCGTGGCTTCAAGGTCCCGCTTCAGTCCAAATCAACTGCTTCTTAGGGCGTAGGATGCTTATCTTTACCAAGAGGTCCTCTGAAACGACCACCTGGGTTTCATCCGGGGGTTCGACTCCCTGAAAGAAACACAACGAGGCCCCAATTTTCAGCCCAAGGGACCCCGAAGTTAGGTGAACCATACAGACTGGGCCACTGGGTCTGGAAAAGCTCAAGGGAATCGACCAATGCTCTCCATTGACGTGTAAGATCCCAAAGATCTGAAAAACATGGTGACATCGCCATCAGACATGTTTGTTCAGGCTACCGCCCACCCCTCCATAAACCCCCCACCCCCCCCGAAGACTCGTGCCCCAACAAGCTGCGTTTGGCTTTCACGGGGCTTGACATCTCAACCTTTGGGGGAATGACATCTGGGACTGGCGAGGCACTGTAAGCACGGCATGCCGTTCCTTTGCTGTGAAATCATGTTGACTCTCAGATTCCAAGGGGCTGCAGCAAAGTCCGTTCATACACGCAATCTACTGGGATCTGGAATAGAATGGTTGACACGAATGAAGTGATCATACCTTTCAGACTCATGTCAAAATGTTTGCCCTCGACCAAGGTGCAGCAACGATCAGATTGAGCACGCCAAACACGAGGGTCAGCAAAGATCCGATAAAAATCAGGGCCGTGGCGGGCGAGGCGTGAATCACTGGCACGGCAACCCTGCCCCAGCTGTCACCTCGCCGATGCTGGTCCACGATAAAAAAAAAATGGAAAAACCGAAAAACCAAAAATACCACACAGTCGGAAGCAAAAAAAGACGCTAAGAGGAGGGTCAAAAGCTTGAAACAGAAGCAGAACGAATAAGCGTGGCAATTGCCATACTTGGAATGCAAAGAGATCTTGAAGTCCTCCGAGTCACCCGCTACCACCGTCTGAAACAGCAGCAAGTTGGCCTCCATGACCTCAGCATTTCCCGAGAGCTGCACTGGGCTGTGAAAGGCGAGGTTTGGAGGGCTCCACTCACGAAAGGAGTGCTACGTTGGCAAAAAAACAAGGGGCACCCGAGTTGAAATTGACCTGGTGGAGGACTCTGCGCAAAACCGTGTAGAGAAGCGACGCCTTATAGTTGAGACCCTGCTGCGCTTCATCTACCCAGGATTAACAAAGCGAAGCCCAGCTAGAAAGGAAGCAACGTGGAAGCAAGTGCTGACCGCGGGGCCTACACCATGAAAGTAGATGGCACAATTCCCAGTATGTCGTCGAGCAAAGGTTGGAATTTACGCCCTCTGTCACCCAACTGTAAGCCCACACCGATCCGATTGACTAGTGGCTCACTGGGCTGGCAACACTCCCGGGAAAGAGGGGATGTCTGTTTGCTTCGAGGGGAAATATGCGTCATGTGTTTCTGTTTTCTTAGTAAAAAACAAAAAAACTCCACCAAACCAGGGAGCACAAGTGGAATCAACTACAGGATGGGCCACTAACTTTCAAAAAACAACCCATGCGGCAAAATCAGAAGTCCCACAAAGCAATTTCATCTTGAGTCTGTCTTCAGATCGGAGAACCCTTGGAATGATGCTCTGTACGAGTTGTCCCAGGGTCCCTCGTTTTTGGGAACACCCACAGGATGTTGAAACCCAAACACATGCGGACCCTCATATTCAATTCTATAGACGTGCATGTTTCAAGTACCTCGTGAAGCGGAAAAAGAACCCCGAAGAGCGAGAGAGAGAGAGAGAGAGAGAGAGAGGCAAAAAAAGTCGTCTAGTTTGGATGTGAAGCGATCTGTGGAGATGCTGACCGCTTAGCAGAGATCTCCTTTACGACACACCAATTGTGTGGTATCATTTGCATACAAAGTTTCTGCCTAGGCAACTCCATTGCCGAAGCAGGTGTCGTGGCGGCAATGCGTCTAGCAGAGCGTTCAAACTGAGTGCCTTCCATATGCCCTCCAAACATCACACCAAGAATAAAATTGCAAATGCACCCTGTCATAAGCCGAGAGACAGTGGTCGTGGACTGAAGGCAGAATGGGCAGTCTTCAAAGGTGCCAAACTGCTCATTCAGATCCTGCGCAATGGACCAATGATTCACTCAGCGGGATAGTAGAAAAAGCAAACCACAGTGGGGTTGGAGGGAGCCCATCAAGAGAAAAAGGGACTCGCCGAGCCGTCCTGCATGATGGGATTGACAAACTCCACAATCAACATGGCGAATCCCGTCATGACCAGGAAGCAGAGCAGGAATGACCACATCAAAGTGCGAAACACCGAGGCCATCATGACCTCGAAAGCCAAGGGAAACTTGTATATCGATAGCAAATCGAAAACCCAAATTTTAAATGGCAGCCCCGGATAAACAATTTAACTTGTTCGTGAGTGAGAAAGTACACATGTTCTTACAAAAAGTTGCAGGCGGAAAATCCGCCTAGCAAACAAAACAAAAGACAGTTTCCCCAGGAAGGGAACCGGTCGCACCAAAACCTTTCCCAGGCCATAGCAAACTGGAAAACCTCGAGATCGGTTCTAAGTTGATCTGCTGTAAGCTTGGGTTAAGCCCTCGTTTAAGTTCTGAGCCCCCACTGTCTAAACACCTTCATCTGGCTTTCTCTTTAAAAGAGGTTCTTCAGGGCAACGGCTCGTGCCTTCACACTTGTTGCGCCCTGAAACCGAGCGGCGATGAGCTTGTAGAGCTCCCTCAACATCCGCAGGCGCTTGAGAAGGCGGATCGTCCGAGCAATCCTCACCTCATGGCATAGGGAAGAAAGGCCTACCCCACACTCGTTTTTTGTGGGGGGGTGTTGGATTGAAAGGGAACCCCGCACTGGGCACGCAAAATGGTTGCCGCTGGTGCAACTGGGTCACCAGCCTGAAGACCCTTAGCACGCCCAGCGGCAGGCCAATGTCGCTGGCAATCGCGGCAGAAACGATGTTTTCCGCCCAGCCGAAAATGACTATAACCTCACTCAAAAGTTGATGTGCGTTGTTGTTTAGAGTTGGTACCCTTTCGCCTTTTGAAGGGAGGCCAACAGGAAACTTGAATTGACACATACCCACTTCGGCCTGATTCCTTTCTTTGAAGCCTGGCTCAACTCCCTTTTCTCGGAATGGTTTTCAAAGGGAGAAGGGAAACTGCCGAGTTTCAGGAGCCCTTCAAGCAGAACCACTTAAAAATGGACCAGGAAATAGAAGGTCCTCTTGGGACTGAGAGTAGACCACAACTGAAAAGCCAAAAGATTGTCAGGCTTAAGCGAGCAACCACGTCCAACGCTCCTATCCAGTCTCTGCACATCTTCGAACCACGAACATAGGCATTGCACAGCAGCTCAGTTGTATAGAGACAGAGACACACTTGAGCAATTACGCTGTAGCCGTAGGCGAGTTCTGCGCCGGCCGCCCGTGCATCCACAGAAGCGCAGGTGCAGAAAGAATCTGCAAGGACAGCAACTGCCATCAGGTTCGTCACGAAATAGCTGTCCAACACCTTTCCCACTCGGCTCCGAAGACTCGTGTTCGTCTTTTTCAATGTGTATGCACGGATGAAATTCGCGTGCACCGGAACCTGAACACGACGAGAGCTGGTGGGGCTGTAGAAGCTGCTGCTGGTACTCCTCTCCTGTGACACGTGCAAACTCACAATCAAGAAGTGAACGTCAGAAAGTGCTTCATTGAAACGGCCTCTAGATGCTCTGGACTCCAAATGGGCCCCCAAAGATTGTAGTTTCCTTGCATTTCCTTTCAAAACAACCCTTACAAAGTACCCTTGACAAAAACACATGCACCTATACTATATCTATATCTGTATATATACATATATATATATATATGTATCCCACAAACACGGGCGCTTTTATTGCAGCTCGAAATGACTATCCGTTTCCAGCACTCCTTCTCAACCGCATCCTCCAAAGGCGAGCTTGTCTCCAGTGGAGACGGCGTTTTGGACATGAGCGTCGTAGGCGCCTCTTCTTCGTCACGGGGTCACACTTGAGCCTTGCAGCGGCTCAGTTTGCAACCGAACTGAGGCCTCAGGTGCTCAAGTAATGTCGACCTCTAATCAATGGACCCCCAGCTGTTCATCGGGGACTTCTCTTGCTAGTAGAGATTCTTTTCTTCCAGGGACCCCCTGATTAACAACTGGGGTGTATTCATCCGGTCAACCTTGCCGGGAAAGCTGCTTGTTGAGCTCTGTCTGACAGAGCTCTGGAGCCAACTTGCAACCTGCGACCTCTGGCCAAAGAATCAAAAGAGAGACTTCACCCGACGACAAAACGTGCAACTTGAGAGGGCTTTAGATGATCTTGAAGTTGTGCAAAGGCTTCGGTGGCGTTTTGAGCCCACACCTTTTTTGTCAGTGGAACACTCTTCCGCTACAATCTTCATTCCACAACTGGAAAGTAAAGAGTTCGGAATCAACTGCTTTGACGAAGAAGATCTCCGCAGAATGGGAATGAGCCCAAACCTGAAAGAGCTGGTTTTTTTTCCGCTTTGGGACTCCGCACGTCTCAGGGGGTAAGCGAGGTTTCTCTGCAAAGGGATTCGCGTCTGAGGCAAGGGAGGTTTCTCCAGGCGGAAAGCGATTTCAAGAGTGTTTCACAATAATTTGTGTTGTGCATCACCACCTGGCTGCACTATGTCGGAATAGTTTGAAAGAAAACCACGACGAAAAAATAACCCGAATTTCGACACACTCACAGTGCTCTACAAATCTCAGATCGATCTCCAAATCTATCAAGAACGCTGTGCCGGCAGGAATAAGTGTCACCGTGTTTCTTGCGTTTCCTTTGGCTACCAGGAATCCAGCACTTGCCTTCCATATGTGATCTTAGGCATCTCTATCTGGTATTCCCAGGCCGCCCTAGATTTTCGAACATGCCAACTCAGCGCGGGTTTTCGTTCAGTGCTTAGTTTGCTTCTGTTTTGCCGTCCCAGGGCTGTGCAATAGCAAAGATTTGCCAGAAAGTGCATGTGCCAGAAGCACCGCAACTAAGTCTCAAAGTAGTGGTATAATGCGGCCTATTGACCCCTATTTCCTGGGGGTTCTCAGCGCCTCTCGCGGCATCGGTTCTGGAGTTGCGTGAGGGCTCGCGTGCGTGCATTCTAGTGCAAGGCGCCAATGCGAGCACGGGGCTTGGCGTCCACACAGAAGCAAGTTCATCGCTGCTCGCCCGAAGTTCATTGCGTGGTTGGACGAGCTAGAAAAACGGCACGAGAGGACACATTTTAACAAAGGTCAAGTTCATCGCTTCTGTGACGTAGTTCATCGTTTCTGTGACATGGTTCATCGCTTCTGTGACAGTTCATTGCTTCTGTGACATAGTTCATCGCTTCTGTGACATAGTTCATCGCTTCTGTGACATGGTTCGTCGCTTCTGTGACACAGTTGACCGTTTCGGCGACAGTTCCGGGCGCTTGCCGACTGCGTGCCGAATGCGTGCCGAATGCGTGCCGGGTGCGTGCGGCCGGGTGTGGACGCGTTACGAACTGCCTCGTACAGAGCCCACACCCTCTCTCGACGCCAAATGCGTGCCGAATGCGTGCCGGGCGCGGACCGAGTGCGTGCCGGGTGCGTGCCGGGCGCCGGGTGCGTGCCGGGTGCGTGCCGGGTGCGGGCCGGGTGCGGGCCATATGCGGGCCACATGCGGGCCATATGAGGGCCATATGGGGCCACATGCATGCCCGCCATGCTCCCGGAGCTGCGTACAAGTTACGAGCTGCTTCGTACAGAGCACACACCCTCTCCCGAGGCCGGGCCGGCCACACGCGGGCCTTGATGCGGCCGACGCCGTCGGACAGTCGGTGTCCGACCTCCCATAGGCACTCGCAAGGTCCTGGGTTTCGTCGGAGCTCTCGCTTTTGGGGTTTGCCTTGGTTTGCGGTCGTTGTTGCCCAGTTGCAATTTACATTTTGGGTTGTTGTCTGCGGCCAGTTCTGGGGGGTTCTGGTCGATTTTGGGTTCTTGTCCAGTTACAATGTGCATTTTGGGTTGTTGTTTGCGGCCTGTTCTGGTCGATTTTGGAGTGTTGTTTGGGGCGTTGTCCAGTTGCAACTTTTGGGGTGTTGCCAACTACGCCCTTCGGGAACGTTGTGGCCTACTGCAAGGGCGCGGGCGCCTACCCGTGTTCTGCGACACTCATTCGCTCCGCCGTCGCCGCCTGCGCGATCTCGTCGCACAACGCGGCGGGGATGCTGTAGAGCAGCTTGCGCGACTGCCCGCAGACCCTCTCGCACTGCTGCCCCATGCCGCTGCACGGCTCTGCGACGCCTTCCGTCTTCCCACGCTTCGCATCGGTTGCCGGGCTTTGGTCCACAGACTCTTCTGCGTGCGATAGGGCGTGCCACACTGACAGTATATAGCGTCCAACCAGGGCAGGCTCTCCATGAACGGACGGGTCTTGAGCAGCCCCGTAGCAGGGTTCTCGATTGCCCACATCACCACGCTGAGCTGCGTCATAGCCTCTCGCACAAAATCCCATCATCACGTTCCAGCGGCGCAAGTTTGCCTTGTAAACTCTCTCAACCTGCCCTGCTGATTCAAACGAGTGCCATGACACACGCCTTGCACGTCTGAAATATTCTTGCGAGCACTGTCACACGACCGTCAGCTTTGTAATGTCACGCATCACTTCGTAATGCCGCTTTGTCATCTCTTTTTGGATGGCATCCTGCAATTTGCAAATACGTCTCAACATGCATGCAAGCCAAATAAGCAACGCACAAATGAAAACCGTCACCATGCTCAAGGCCGCAAATGCGAAATGCCAACTCGTCATGGAATGAAACTGAAAGCAAAATCTGAGTTGGGCTCATATGGAAACTCATCTGCGCTGCACTGATTTGCACTCACCGCACATGCTGCTCCACCTTGCAAAACATTGCCTGCGAACATAATCTGCATCACTTCCAAAAATATGTTGGCTGCAAATGTCTTTGCGTTCTTCCGTATCTGATTGCTTTTGAAACGCTTCTCAAACATACCATTCATTTCGCCCGTTCCACAGTGAACGAACATGTTCAGCAAAGCCAAGTGCCTAGCTCTCGTCAGTGGTTTTGTCGCCGCGTCACTTGGATTTTGTCAAGAGCGCAAGATGACGTCCCGTGGGACGCTGTCCACCAAGCTTCCAGCTGAGTTATAGGAAACATGCACTGCTACAACCTAAGACAACTCAACCCTCGATACGAACGAGACGCACTCTCCTTTTGTAACCGGGTTGCGCTGGAGTCTCTAGCTGATGCAGAGCGGTGCACTGCTGTGCACGGCTTCAGCTAGGGAAGGCTCTATTAACCCCCTGGTGAAACGTATGCATCACACTGGAGTTAAGTCGTTGTGGTATGGACATGCGGGAGCCCCTCTAAGCGCGGCGTCAATCGTTCGCTTGTCGCCAGCCTCGAACATCCCCCACATCCTTGACATCTGCAGCGCAATGAACCCCGCCATATATCGAGCCTCCCGTGGCTCATCCAAGCAGATTGGGAGTTGATGATGTAGCACGCAGTCGTGTCACTGTCGCGGTAGTCCTCTTCGTTCTCTTCCTCTTCGGACAAGTTGCCGGACGTGCACCCCTGCGCGCCCATCTCATCATCGTCGGGATCATCATCCATCCATCACTTGCGCTGCCGTATTACCATTCGCTTCCTCCTGCGCTCGCCTACCATCCCCGGACACGTTGGGTTCACGATCGTCATCATCATCGTGAGTTGACGTTGACGTAGAATCTTCCGGTGGAAATCAATCTGGCCGGTCATTAAGGACATGCTTTTTATGCCTTTTTGTTTGGTGCTTTTTTTGGACCGAAAACCTTGTTTCTTCGCGCGCGCGTTCTTTGTCAAAACAATCCGTTTTTCGGAAGTGTTTTTTTTTGCCGAAAATCTTGGGGAGGGAGGGGGGGAAGGGGGAGGGGGGGAAGAATTTTGGGATGCGCTCTTACTCCAAGGTGGCTTGAACTTGACTTGCGTTGCTGCATGGCCAAAAGGACCCCAAAGAAGAAAGTCAAGAGGGAAGGGGCGGGATCCGCTTGGGCAGAAACATGCAGCAGGGGAACTTGGCAGCCTACTGGTTACAATCGTTGGCCACCTTAGCAGCCGATAAGCAAGAAGCAAAAGGCCGTGAACGCGCAGCTGCTCTCTTTTTTTCCGGCATTGCCCCATGCCAATGGAAAAGAGATACAGCTGGACAGCGCCAGTGAGACCCCGTCATATGGCAGCTGCCAGGTTTGCCTCAGGCACTGGCGCTGGCTGCTTTCGCCTCAAAACAAACTGCGCGAGCGCAGTTTGTCATACTGGTCCAACTTGCTGTTTAAATCACGCAGGGCCTCTTCAAGCCGCGCTTTCTTTTCAGCTGCTTCACGGAATTTCTGCTCAGCCTGGCGGAGACGGTCACACCAGTCCCGTGCACCCATGGTAGTGCTTTTGGTCCAGAAATCTAATTCTTTCTTCATGGAGTCATTGTCCAGC